CCTGACCCCACCCGGTGAGGGCAGCACGGCCAATCCTGACCCCACCCAAGTTAAGACAGTACAGCCTATCCCAATCCTGACCCCACCCAGTGAGGGCTGCACAATCAATCGTAATCCCAATTGTAGCACTGGTCAATAGGTACACATTCGAGCTTGGGGTGGGGGGGCACTGAACAGCAATCAGGAGCAGAAATGCTTTTGACCAAATGTTTGCTCCCTTAGTGCAGAATCGTGAGTGAAGTCACTTATGGTGATCCCCTTCCAAAGGCCACTCTAATAAATCAATTAATTCAGCGTAGATCAAGTTCATATAGACTTCATTAAAAAACTTTCTAAATACTAAACGTTTTGTGTGTGCGTATACGAGCAATACATATATATTATATATGGGTGCATATATTGTATCTACATATTACACACATGTATAATATACACATGCATATTTATATACACACACCTCCAACAATTTTGTTTTCAGTACAAATATAATCTCAAGAGAACTGTTGGAGAAACAGATATGGAAAATTAATGCCATGATATCCTTCGACTTCCAAAACAAGATCAAAGCACAGATGTCACCAAGGGTTGAAGCCAGCATACAGCGTCGGCAGACTCCCGTGTCTGTCCACATACACCCTGCTCAGCGCCCCTACCCTGTCCCAGCACAGCCCAAACCAAGCTAAAGCATCACGGCTAAAATTGGAGCAATGACAAAACCAGATGCATTTAGAACAAAATGACGATGCTCCTCCAAGGGACAGGCAGAAGAGTGATTTCAAGTCTTTACAAGACTCTCACAACAGTGTTAATTTTTGGCTGAGTTTGGTTTGATATGGGTCCACAGCGTGCAAATCGCTTTGAATTGTGTAAAAGATAATCCTTAGGCCATCGGTAATTTCACATTGATTTAGAAAAAGTTCCATCCATTCTTTCTGAATAAAACAGGGGTGAAGGGTGAGGGGGGAAAAATAAATAAATATGGCACTCAGTTTCTCTTTTTAAATAGATGCTGCTTCTCTCAGTCCTGGATATGAAGGGTTAATCGTTCTGGGCCAGCTTGTTGCTGTGTGTCGTCTCTAGGCTGCTCACCTGAAGCTCAGTCAGGCTACCAGTGCATGACTGCTGCCCAATGACTGCCATCTGTGAAAACAAAAAGGGCCAAACAGTCACAGCCCAATCACACTGGACAGTATTCCCCAATTCCCCGTTCCACCCTCACTCACACTGGACACTATTC